CTCAGGCAGTTTAAAAAATATATAAGCATTGAAGAGACTACTAACCTGAGTCACAGAAACCAGGTTCCTTGACGATTTTTGAAAATATGAGCAAAAATATCTAGAAGTACAATATCACTCTTACTTGTTTTGTCCTAAAACTGCCATGTGTGTATACCTGTAACAATATAAAATTGAGATAGATGCTGCCAAAAAGAACTTTTTAGCATTGTACCTTTACTTCTTAACATAACCAATCATTGAGGGGCCATGTCCTTAGTTGAGCTTGATCAACCCAAACGATTTCTTTCAAAATGTTCCCTGCTAAACGCCTTGGTGAATATGTCTGCTACCTGGTCCTCTGTCTTCCACAACGTCATACAAATCAGACCCTTTTCAACATTGTCCCTCAGGAAAACGTACCTCACATCAATGTGCTTTGTCTTTGTGTTCCACCGTGTTCTTGCCATGTTGAGAGAACTTGTGTTATCACATAATAACAACACACAGTCTGTAAATACACCAAAATCCTCAAGTTGTTGCTTGATCCATAGCAGTTGAGCACAACAAGAAGAGAAATCACATAATCAACTTCAGCAGTTTAAAGAGTCACAGAGTTTTATTTCATTGTACCCCATGAGATCAAGCATGACCCTAGAAAATATGTCATTCCAGATGTACACTTTCTATCCACCATATATCTAGCATAATCAACCAAGTCAAAATTACCTCCTGAAGGATAGAAGGGGACCAAGTCCTGAATTTCATGAGATACCTCAAAATTCGTTTGGCAGTCTTTAAGTGAGATTCTTTTGGGCTTGATTTGAACCTAGCACATAACCCAGCACTAAAGACAATATCAGGCAGGCTAATAGTCAAGTATAGAAGAGGCCCAATGATACCCCTATACATAGTTTTATAGACAGGAGAATAAAGTTCATCCATGTCAAATCGAGTACCATTGGTAATAGGCGTATCAGTGGTCTTAGAATTTTCCATCTCAAATCTTTTCAGCAGCTCCTTGAAGTACTTATGTTGACTAATCATAGTGTCTTTTGAGGTTTTCTTTATTTTTTGTTGTGTTTCCAAATTCATCAAGCTTGTTTCGGAACACCCACCTGGTTCCAATCACTGTTATGTCTGAAGGCCTAGGGACCAGGTTCCACACTTTGTATCTCTCAAACTGATGGAGTTCTTGTTGCATAGCAGCTATCCAGTTAATATCTTTCAATGCTTCTTTGATATTCTTAAGCTCGATTTGAGACAAGAAGTGAGAAATAAAACATGTTCCTTGCTTTAGATCTAGTTTTCAATACCAGAGTCTAAGGGAGTGCTTACATATTGAAGGAGACGTGAGCTCCAGTGCTTACAGTTTGATACTTGAACTTCAGGATTTAGGGGACTAGGTTCCTCCATATTCGATCCATCATTTACATCAACAGAAGTATGACTTTCACTTTGTCCATCATCCGGAGTACCTGATACAACATCAGCATCCCTATGTTCAGCTTCAATTGAGGTAATAGAGGGATCAGGTTCCTCTGTGCCTTCTGGAGATTTTGCTACATCTTCTTTATCGCTTTGCTTGACTTGACTCATCAAATAAGTCTTTCCATTTGCAATATCTATAGCTTTATCAGGAATTTTTGTAAATTCTCCATCTCCATCTTCTTTAATATGTGACCTTTGCCACTTGATTCATGGGATTCATCAAAGATCACATACACATTCTTCTACTAGGTTCTTTTGTTGTAGATCTTGTATACCTTGCTTTGAGAGGAGTAACCAAGAAAAATTCCCACATCACGTTTTGCATCAAAATTTCCCAACGCCTTCTTACAATTGTTGATAACGAAACGGTTGCATCCAAAGGCTCTCAGGTAAGACAGCTTGGGTTTTCTCCCATTGAGCAGTTCATAGGGAGTCTTCTCGAGTGGGGACCTAATCATGCACTTGTTAATCAAGTAACAAGTAGTGTTGACTACTTTAGGCCACGAACCAAGTCCTTCATAACAAATTACATGCCCAGTCGTCTGTGCCATAACTCTGCATCATCATCAATGTCACTTAGGCATGTTAGATCACCGCCATTCAGTAAATTAAAGTCTACAACATATAAGTTTTTGAACCTTTTAGCTATCAACACTACTTCACCAGTTTGGAGATTGGCGACAATGCAAGATTTCGACAAGAACTTTACTTTATTTTCCCTTGTCACAAATTTTGTGAGAAAAAATTCTAGAGAGGCCCCGGACCTCAACCAAACATAACAACAAATCCTAAAACATCATACAAACTCGCTCGAAGCCTCAAATCACATCAAACTACACTAAAATCACAAATCACACATTGATTCAAGCCTAATAAACTTATGAACTTCTAACTTCCAAAACTAATGTTGAAATATATCAAACCAACTCCGATTGATCTCAAATTTTGCACACAAGTTATAAATGACACAACGAACCTATTCCAACTTTCGAAATTAAAATTTGAGTATGGTAACCACAAAGTCAACTCTCGGTCAAACTTCTCAACTCTCCTAACTTCTATTTTTCCAGCTTTCGCCAATTTAAGCCAAAATTACCTACGGACCTCCAAATCAATATCCGGACACATTCCTAAGTCCAAAATCACCCTACGGAGCTATCAGAACCATCAAAACTCTATTCCGGAGTTATTTACACACAAGTCAACATCCAGTCAACCCTTTTAACTTAGGCTTCCAACCTTGGGACTAAGTGTCCCAACTCATTTCGAAATATCTCGGGAACCAAACCAACCACCCCGGCAAGTCACATAATAACAAATGAGCATAATATAAGCAATAAATAGGGGAAAGATTCTATAATACTCAAAATGACTGGTTGGGCCGTTACAACAAGCAACCCATATTTTCTTCTTAGAGGACCAAGTTCCTCAACATTATGCTTCTTTTCAATAAAAACTTTATCTTTCTGGAGAGATTGAATTTTAGCTTTACAAGAGTCCTTGTAATGACCAGCTTAACCACAGCGAGTACACCTCCAATAATCAGCCACAATTACATACTTACTATGAGGATTACAAAAGGTTTTAACCTTTTGGAACCCGATTCCTTGCTTGCTTCCACCATTACTCTTGTATATAGAAGTTATTACATCAGAGGACTAGGTCTATTTACGTAACTTATCAAGATCATTTTCAACCCATTTCAGATACTATTGAAGTTGTCTATTCTTTTCAAGCTCAACAATAAGACTTGTTTTAACTTTGTTAAGCTCACTCTCAAGCTCAAGTTGAGCCTCACTAGCCACTTCTTTTCTTTTAGGGGTGTCCATCAATTATTTTCATTTGGTTTTTCAACAAGGTATTTTCTCTAGTTACTTTTTTCACTTGTTCCTTCAAGTCTACACTGAAAACTACCATATCATCCCTCTCTTGTTCTATGTCACCAATTTCTTCAATTAGATAATTTTTCTAATTAAAAAATACGGTCTACTCTAGTAGGATTTCAACTCCACTAAATCCAGCAAAATTCAGATTAAAACCTATTGCAATCTAGGAATTAATTAAACTCTTGATCTCTCACCCCTTACAATAACTCTATTTTAAACCCTTTGCAATAACTCTATTACAAACCAACAAACCTTGACTAACTCTAGTCAAGAAACCAAACCAAACAATGGTTGAAATCTGTCATACAAAGACACTTCTTGAAAGTAGTGTAGGGTTACAAATGAAGAAAAAAATGACAAAGACTCAACAAACCTAAGGACTTAAGATATCTTCAATATCTGGATCTGGTTCTTGAGCTTGTAGCAGTTTTGTTCTTGAAGGTTGTGGCGGCTAGCACTTGAGAGAATATGCTTTTTAGATTTGCAAGTGTTCGGTTAAACCTTGTATCATTTTCTATATATATGAGTGAATTTGTGAGAAGAGATAGGGTCTTTTAGTTTTGCCTTAGCAAGCTACGGTTGTGTTGTTGTACTGCTGCCAGACGGTACAATGCAGCAGCTTTTAGAGCTGTAGAGTTGACTGAACGACGACTAGGGGAACTGATTCACACATGGACCCTATCTGGTTCCTCGAGAATATTTGATTGGCATCAAAACATGAAGTAACATATCTGCTGCTAGTCAGTACAGTGCAACAACTTTTACAGGTGTAGAGTTGACTGTATGACGGCCAAGGGAACTGATCACATCTAGTCCCTATCTGATTCCTCGAGAACATTTGGTAAATCATCAAAACACAAAATAGCGTAACTTATCAGGATGCAAAACAAGAGTACACGTTTAATTAAATTTTTTTTGGGCGCCATAATCAGCTAAGCATGCAAAAGTAACAATACTACAGAGAAAGGTGAGCGAGAGGGGTAACCAGGATACCATGGTATCCTGGATTGCTGGATTTTCCAACCGTATTATCTCTACATCAATCTTGCATGCAGAACTCATTGCTTTATTCTATGGATTTGAATTGTCATTTACAAAGAATTTATTTTTATTAATTGTGAAAATAGATTCTCAGGTATTGAAAGATCTCATCCCAATACCAAATGCATTATATTCACATATGTTGAATGATTGCATGTTTCTACTTGATGCTATGGACTAACTGAAATAGAGATATTTACTAACTTACTGCGTACATTGGAGTATGAGTATTAGAATTAGAATTATTCTGTAACCATATATTGAAGCAAGCATTTGAAACATTCTTTTTTACTATCCATTGGTTATTTACCGAGATTTAGGAGTACTCAAAAATACACGAAAGCTTAGATCAGAACATCATTGTTGTACAGTACGTAACTGCAGTTCTAACAAATCAACGGCCTATAGATCGGTGGTGACAGATTTCAAGATTCACGTCCCGCTAGTTATTAAGATCTGTTTGCATATCAGTAGTTGCTTGTTTTTATTGGATGTCGTCAATATGACTCATCTTTTTTATTTTAATTAAAAATTCTAACCACGTTAGGTGATATTAAATAAATAGAGAGAAAGATGAAGAAAAAAAAGAATCTGCATATCTGGGGCAACTGGGTCATAAGTCATATCTCATGAGAAAGAGTACATAACTTTTATTACCACTATATATACTACATATTTATAAAACAAGTGGTAGGAAGACTTCGAAGTTTGTCTAATCCGGCCCCATTTTTCTAGTTGGATTTGTTTACTAAGTGCTAGACGCGAGATATATGGGTGCTAACTTGTTATAACCTCTCTGAAGAAATCAGATGTTTCGGCATCCCAAAGTACATCAAACCAGGATGAACTCATATCGAACTGGCCGTCGGAGTCAAAGCTGGAAAAATATTCGGAAATATCATGAGAGTACTCAAACTGATCATGAAGTTGTTGGCAGTTGGAGTTATAAGTATCACCATCATCTGGGTTGCTCTCCAATATAACAGGACTAATTTCCATCTCAATATTTGGTTGATCGACAACGTTGTAGCAATCTCCGTCTGTTTGATATAAATTCATAGTAACATCCATCATCTGATTTTCTTCACATGTAATAATACTGTTGCTGTCTGATGAAGAAACATGATCAGGTGATCGTTTCTCGACGTTTGTCCTCTCATTTCCTTTGGTTTTCTTCAGTACCCTTTTATTGCTTCTTGCCCCGTTGGTAGTACTCTTCAACGGGGCATCATATTTCAGTCCGAAATGCTTCTTTAAGTGTGTGTGGAAGAAGTTCTTAACTTCGTTGTCTGTTCTTCCTGGCAATCTTCGAGCAATTTCTGACCATCTGGAGATAATAATACACAACGGCGTCTATTACATATTCTTTACCATTTATTAAAATTTTCAAATCTTTCAACCAAAACAAAATGAAATCAAAACTAGAACTTCGTCTCACCTATTTCCAAGTTCCTGATACATTTTGATGACCGTTTCTCTTTCTTCTACGCTAAAGGGCCCTCTCTTAACATCAGGGCGGAGATAGTTCATCCATCTTAGCCTACAACTTTTCCCGCTTCTTGAAAGCCCTGCAATCACGTACGACCCAAAGTTCAGGAGACTAATTAGTTAAGCACAACAAATGAATGAACTTAGACAATGAAGGGTTATAACAAGTAGTTTAATGCATGTCTAGAAATTAAAAAATGAATTATCAGAACAAGTTAGATCAATATTAGAAATTATTTGAAATGAATCAAACCTGCAAATCTGGGCATGTGGCTCCAATTCCAAATGCCATATCTCATGATATAAGATTTCAATTTTTGGTCTTCCTCTGGAGACCATGCTCCCTTCTTTATCTCCTCCATGTTTGTGCTTTTCTGCTGCTGTTGTGGTGGTACACTTGGCATGATTGCAGAGAATTAAGTTCAAGTGATCACCTATTTGTATGGTTTTTAGCCTTGCTTTGTAAATCTGAATTTATATAGGGATATATATTTCCCACCCACTGTGTGGAATTCTTTAATAAAAACCTTCTTTCCAGGAAAGCTATAGGGACTCGCTGCACTACATTTAATTTAGGTTAAATTTTATAATAATTCTTTGAAGGAGTTGAATTTTTCTAAAGATTGGCAGTAGGGACGAGCTGTTAAGATCAGAGAGGGAGTTAGAGTAGGAACAGAAAAAAATGAATTCTTGCTTTCCCACATCACTTGTCAAAAGAATATTCCACCCCTTTTGGTCACATGCTAGCTTACTGACCGTCTGATTTTATTTGGTCACATGCTTAAATCATACTATAAAATAAAAAGAGCAAAGTTCATTTGTAGCTACTTGGGTCAAACTTATATCATCTGGGTCAAACTTATATCATCTGATAGCCACGCCTAAAAACAATAATAAATGCTAGCAATTAAAAAATCTGAAACCATACGCTCAACGCAAACCAAAAGGAAATCACTCCTAATTGATTTTGTATCCTAAATTCACGCCTTCAGTATGGAATCTTCAACCCCCAAGCAGTATAAAAGTCGCCCAATTATTCACATTGTCAAAAAGATTCTAGGGTTTCTGAAGAGTAAACCCAGAGCAGAGCTCCAAAAATTTCACGGTGAAATTCAAAGTTTTTGCACAATTGTGGCCTACAATCAGCTTAATAGAGTTAAGATTTCGTTCTTAAATTGTGAAATTGATACAAAATCGACAAACACAACTAATGTCTATGGAGATTGTGAATGGTGGGGCTACTGTTCCAATTTTGATTTCGATTTTACTTCAACACAGTGGTGAGTAGGTAAGTGAGAGTAAATTTGTTAGTTTCCTTGTTAATGGCATGCTGATCAATTCAGACTGTAGCTATGAGTATTTTATTGATGAGATATATAAGAAATTAGGATGGCTATTTAGCAATTCCAATATACAATGATATGAGTGTGCGCTTGTATATGGAGATGAAAAAGAAAAACCTAGATATCATTCAATATCCATTATGCATAGTTGAAAACTGTGTGTTCAAGTGTCGAATGCTCATATTCAAGTTCATACTTGGGTGATAACTTACTCGCAACAACTTCAGTTGGTTTACAATGTCAGAACGTAGAAGAAGTACACGGAACTAATATTGTTGAGATGATGGATAACCATGGAAAAGAAGACAAAATTGAGATAATGAAGGGAAATTGTATAATAGACAATCCACAACATGAAGAAATTGAAGAAGGTCAGTTGTATTGGGACAAAGATACACTCATTAGTGTAATAAAGCACTACGCAATACGAGAAAAATATTAATTTATAGTGGATAGATCATCTACTACAAGGTATGATTTCTACGTGTGAGATTGCACTTCTCTGTAATTTTGTGTATACTACTTGTATAAAATATGTATAATTATTGCATAATGAGATTGCATATGTTAACAGCTAGCGCACAAGATGCGGCAGGTGAATATGTCACAGTCTCGTATAATAATTATATATGGTATATATAGTTGTTATCGGTTTATAACAAAAATAACATGTGGACGCTTTCTTATTTGCTTAACCAGGTAAAAGTTTTCCACTAGCATATGCTGTTGTCGATTCTGAAAATGATACTTCCTGGGAATGGTTTTTTGAAATGCTTAGATAGACTTTTGGGGAAAAGAAAAGGATGTGCATCGTATCTGATCGTCATGCAAGCATATTGAGGGGTGCTTTGATTGTGTATCCAACGGTATCTCACTGTGTATGCATCTTCCATATTTGGAATAACATAAAGAAGCAGTTCAAGAAGAACCATGACCGACTGAGGAAAGTATTTTTTGCAATGGCTAGAGCACAAAAAATTGAAGATTTTAATCACGTGATGCAAGATATGGACATCATTGATAAGAGGGTAAGGGGTTACCTGTTCCAAGTTGGTTATGAAAAGTGATCCATAGTGCATTCCACTGTTAATAGATCCATTATGATGACTTCAAATATTGCTGAGTCACTCAATGCAAGAAACATAGAGGCAAGAGAGCTACCAATCATGAGTTTGCTAGATTACATGATAAATTTGGTTATGAAATGAAATAATACAAATAGAATGACTGCAATGAGTACATTTACTGGCCTAGGAAAAAAATATAATGAAGTAGTGCAGGAAAATAGTAGTTTCTCGCAGAAGATGACGGTAAATATTCTTTTATCATGTCTTACTTCATACGCCTGAATAACATACTTTGACAAAAATGCATTAATATTTGTCATATCCCTGTTTTAGGTGAGACTTTCAACTAATTATGTATATGTAGTAATAGATGCTGAACAAAGGCGGAACATAGTCTGCATGCAAAAAAGGGAATTCTCATGCCAACGATTTCAAGTGGATGAGATTCCTTTTCTACATGCTATGACAGTATTGGACTACACACACATAGAAGCATCCAAATATTGTTCTGCCTATTACACCAAGGAATACTTCAAGAAGACATATGAAGTGCCAGTTAATCCACTTCCAGATAAAACTACATGGGACCTTCAAACAGAGGTGTTAGATAATGTGGTCCTACCACTGATAACTAAGGGCAAATCAGGAAGACCAACGAAGTCGCGACGCAAGGGACTTTATGAATATTTGTATACTGAAACAGTTATCTGTGAACTGTGTGAAAAACAAGGATACAACAGAAGACATGCAGGAATGCTCGAGACAACTAGTAGATGTTGCTACAATGATTTAGTATTTTGTAACTGCTTTTTTTTGCGAATGTTACAATTAGAATATTGGAAAAATAATGAGATTTGCAATCAGATTCTCTCTGATGTATGAATAAAGATACTATTTTTTGTCGTAATGAAAGTATTGGTAGAAGTTTTATTCCAAATTACTATTATAGATGTCACTATATAGATGTCAATATACAAAATATATACAAAAAGACTATCACTATACAAAAACTATACAAAATAGACTTTTACAATATAATTTATATACAATAGATTGTCACTATACAAAAGCTATATAAAATAAACTGTGACTATACAAACAATATACAAAATAGATGTCACTATACAAAATATATACAAAAAAGACTGTCACTATACAAAAAATATACAAAATAGAATTTGTATATTTATACAAAAAAAAAAAAATAGATCGTCACTATTGTCTATACAATTTACATACAATAGACTGTGACTACACAAAAAATATATAAAATAGATATCACTATACAAAAAATATACAAAAAAGACTGTTACTACACAAAAATTATACAAAATATATACAAAAAGACTGTTATTATACAAAAATTATACACAATAGGCTCTCTCTATACAATTTATATACAGTTTAGCTGCCCCCAAAACTTCATTCACAAAAGTTCCTATAACAACTTAGCAACACCAGCTAAATTTGCAAAACCTGTCGAAATAGATTAAAATTGTATAAATTACAAAACTAAAACTGTTGAAAAGTCAAAACTACACAAAATCTGAAACTTTCAAAATTTCACTATTAACTGAAAACAAACAAGTTACAATTAAAAGTAATATTCAACATTAGCATTTCAAACATATTGCTCAAAATATCCAAACAAAAAGCATAAAACATGATATAGGTATGAAACTTTATCCAATCATAACCAAACTACATCGTAAAACTACATGTCAATTTTCTGCTAAACTATCCCAAACTACGTCATCTTGCCCTTCAACTTGCCCTTTTTTTCTTGATATCCTTCAAAGTCTTGTCATCAGCAACGGCATGTGTCTTGCCCTTTTTCTTGTTATCCTTCAAAGCATCACCAACGGCATGCGACTTGCCCTTTTTCCTGTTATCCTTTTTTGTCAGATCCTTCAATCTACTAGTAGACTCGTCATCATTAAATGCATGTGCTCTTTGTTTCTTCACTCCATAATCCCATATCAATATACCATATCGGTTTCGTATCCCATCAATATCAATAGCTTTAGGAATTCTGCTGCCTTGAATGATGTACTCAGCAAATGCAGCAACATATATACCACAGTCACTACATACAAGGTCGCACATAAACATTGAATAAGTTAGTATAATATCCAAATAGGAATTCATGTACAAAAATGAATAAAAACCAAAAATATTCAATAATAATTTATGTATTATCTTGCGTTGGCAACCCATCATCGACATGAATCTCAAAAGGATCAATGGCGGAAATTACCATATGATTCTCATTTATGTCCCAAAAACCAATACGATGAAGGAAATATGGGAGCAACACTGAGTATGGCTCAATTGTTCTCCGAACTGCACTATTTTGTTGCGCGCCACTCATGGAATCGTATACATAAATGCGCAGATCTTTGAATGACAGTCTCGCTAATATCCAATGCCACTTATCAGATTGATTTATAGGGAAAATGAGGTCATCAACAGTACACCAAGGAACATTACATCTTAAAAAATACCCAAATATATACTCAGCAATTAGATATGTTTCAGTAATCAAATTCATATCTCTGTTTTTCTCCAAAATCTCCTTGTACAAATTCGAAATGAAGCAGTTAAACTAATAGTCGATACTTGTGAATCTTACTGGAATATCAACATCGTACTTACCTTTCTTTCTCAAATAGTAAAAAATAATATCAATACGCTGAAATATGAAGAATAAACACACATAGTCAGAAAATTACATTACGAGAAAACTACAATATATATTTTACATATAAACCGATTATATAGTTTACAGAAGATACTGCAAATATATATAAAAGATACTCTTCCAAGTTGATACTATATTTTCTATTGCCATTATTGTTCTAGTTCTTTCTGCTGCCTACTATCCAAGGGTTGCCGAGTCCTATTTCTCATTTTATTACAGATAAAATCTATATGTAATTACAACATAGATAAAAGAAAAGAAATGGCATTTATGCTAACAAATTAACATCAATATGCTGAAAATATGAAGAACCATTATAGTGTTGACTTACTGAATCACACAGGGGTAGGCCGGGATATGCAAATGTGAAGAATCATTTTTTTTCTCCAATATCATCAACTCCAAATTCAAAGATATT